TACCCACAATAGTTAATTTACTTTTAAACATTTAGGTAGGAAAGGGGAGAAGCATTCCTCCCCGTTGTGTTTTCAGTCAGTAACTGTTATTGACTATTGACCTTGTCTTTTTGTTTGCAAGCACAGAACATAAGAACTTAGCTTAAGAAATTATTGTAGAGCTGACCCACAAGAAAAGTTTTGCTAGGAAATTCATTTTTGGCCTAACATTTTATAAAAAGCTGTTTTGTCTATATAGCTGGAATTGCTTTGCAATCTTTAATACAAACTATAAATGTCTTTTAAAATTTGGACAGACGCTGATGAATAGACATAAAAGCAATGGAGATTCAATTTATCTGTGTTCAGTCACTCCTCCCTAGTTCTTAAAAAATTGAGGATTGATGATTCACATAGAAGGAAAATAAAACTAACCCAGAGCAAAATATTCTTTGAGAGATACTTTTTAGATACCAACTTAAACTTAGCAGAAACATTTCTTTTGTTAATATATGCTCATATATTTTAAACACATTTCAATTTTAATAGTTTGTATTTTGTTATTGAAACAGAGTATCTGTTAGAATTCTGTGAACTCAACTGTTTAACAGCAAAGATGTTTTTCCACATGCAAAGTTAACCAACCAAATAAAACCATCCAATCTGTTTTATTGTTGCAATGCTGATGTCAATTTATTTTTCACTATCTCTCCTTTCCTGCAAGAACAATAAGAGCCAAAATGGCTGTACTCTTATTTATGTACTTCCAGAAGTTTCATGTTTGTTTACCCAAATTCACATAGAGAAGTGCTGATGTCATTACTCAATGACAGGAAAGGTGTAAGGGGTAATGAGGTCGTCAGAAAAAGCACTCAAGAATCGGATCATTTTCTTTGAAAGAGAGTTGAGTCATTTCTCTCCCCCATGTAAGGAGCCAGAAGAGAGTTCTCACCAGGACCAACTCAGTAACTTGATCTAGGCCTCCCAGGGTTTCATAACTGAGAAATAAATGTTAGTGAGACCACTTAGTCCATGGCATTGGTCAAGATTGAAAATAACAGTGGAAATGTATCTGTGCTAATGCCCTAGATGGAGAGGCTTGCAAACTTTGAGTGAGGGAAATGATGTAGGAATGCCAGAAAGATTTTGGGCATATGGATATTTTAACTTGTTCTCTGGAAATGGATGACAAATCATTTAAATTTCTTTGATTTGGGATATCACTACCCATTTATTTAAAGATAAGGCAATGGACACAAGTTAGTGAAATGAATTACTTGAGATCACAAAATAACTTAGAAAGAAGATGATGGAAAGGAGGTAAAATTAAAATCCTCAACTTAACTTTTAAATATTTAGGAGAAGACAATTGATTTATACTATAGTCTCACTTTCTTACTTGACTCCAATTTGTATTTATAGTCAATGAGCAATGGGGGAACATATTTAAACCAGAACATTTTAGATGATCTTTAAATAAGTTGTGTAAAGAAGTTGTATATGAATGAATGATGAGGCTGCAAGATAGTGTCATAGATTATATTAAACAATTTTTTATTGCTGTCACAAAATACCTTAGAAAATCAAATTAAAAAAAGGACAAATGTTGCCTCAAGGTTTTAGATGTTTTTGCTTATAATATGCATTTCAAAGCAGGGAGCATGTAGTAAAACAAAGCTGCTCACCTATATCTGCCAGAAAGCAAAAGCAAAAAAACACTCATGGAGTAGATACGCCTTCAAAGGCAAAACCTATCTCCCTCATTGACCCAGTGATAATACTTCATTTAACAAGGGCCCACCTCCTGGTAAATCAATCACTATGAATTCATCAATGGATTTCTCATTTAATGAAATCACTGTCCTTATGATCTAGCCGACTCTTAGTAGTACCCCCAGTTGAGGGGCTTGAGGCAGGGAGGCAAGCCTGCAATGTTTGAGCCCTTTGAAATGACTCTTCATAGTCAAACCATAATTAGATCTTAATTCCACATGCAAGTCCTTCTACAACTAGCAGCAACGAGTCACCCAAGAAAGGGTAAGGAATAAGGGAATGGTATCAGAAGACAAAGGTCTGTGTTGGGAATATGGCTACAATCAAGGGAAGTGATGAGAAAACAGGCCAGAAAACTGAAGCATAGCCCATGGAAAATATTCTCTTGAAGGAGAATGAGGACCTGCATAACCTCATTCCAGTTTCAGTGTTCATTTCTCATGCCACACAGTTCTGGTTTGAGATAACAAAATGAAACCTGAACCAGCCTATAGAAAAGACACTAGATAACAAAATGAAAACTGAACCAGCCTATAGAAAAGATACTACAAGGAAAGCTTGAATACTCCCCAGACCCATCTGGACTTTCATCCCTTTCAAATGACTGTTTCATTCTTTCTCATTGCATGGGCAGACTGGATGGGAACTGTTTCTTTCCCAGAAGCAGAAGTTCTGGGGAAGAGTCTTGGTGGGAAGGACTACCTCCTGCCTAATCGCTAGTGACTGATGAGTTTTTGTTTGTTTAATTTCTCCAACTTCGAACCACTAGTGTGTTTTGGGTGGATTTCTAGATCCAGAGCCTAAGAATTGAGGGAAAGGGTACTCTGCAGATCATTCTGGCTCCTTGTTTGCAGTCTGCTAAATAACAAATTACTTAGTGCACCCCTTCCCTGCTGCCAGGTTTTAAGTTTCAGCAACACATTTCAGTCAGCTGATAAGATTTTATTAGAATGTCACACTGGAAAGTAGGGAAACACAGAGATCTGTTTCTGCCCCTGGCAATTCAGATAGCATGTCCTTTCCCAAACCAAGTAGAAAATGTTCTCTGTGATCGTGGTCCTCCTTATACTGGCTTAGCAGACAAGGGAAGCTGATGAGAGCAGACATGTAAAGCCATAATTATTGGCTATTTTTCTCTTTCTTATGGCCCATTCTCTCTACATCTTTGTTTCTAGTATCACAATGACCTAAGCTAGGCTTTGAAAAAGGAGACTAGTCACCATTAAATATGGCATGCTTCTGTATGTTACAACTTGTCCATTTTGGAGGTTTGGAAGCTGTTGCTCAAATGGCCTCCTATGGCCAGGTCTTGATTAGTGTTTCATTAACTCAGAATGAGGAAAATATGGGCCAAGACAAACTGAACTGAGATTTACATGCAAATTGTGGGTACACTGGCAACTTAATTCGTGGCAATAGTGTATGGCCTCTACAGAGATAGTAAAACCTATGAATTGTAACTAAAAAGTCTTCTTTGCACAAGAATTATTCTAGAAAATATGGGTGATGCTAGGACATAGATAGAGATCCTACTATAACTGGGCAGAAATAGTAATATGAGGAAGTTTTACTTTCCAGTACTGATAATTGAACCTAGGGTTTCATACATGCCAAGAAGATTGGTGTAGACAGAGAAATCACCATAATGGATAAAACTAGAAAACAACTTGAAATACTTACACATCTAATCTTTTTTTGCAATTGGAGCTACAATGTAGTCATTATAATTTGTGCACTTATACAAAATAACTGTCACCAGAATCAGGACTCTAACAAAGTGTAGAAGCTTAAACTCCCTCCAGTCCCCTAGAAGTAGCTTGATTTTTTTCACTTAAATTGCTATTGTGGTGACAGATGTAAAAGTAAGCAGCCTTTGTATAGAAGAGGTACCCAAAGGTAATCATAAACTGATGAAGACAAGTAAACTGGGCTGAGATTACAATGAAGGAAAGAAAAGAAATCCGAGTGCCAGGGCGATACAGATGGAAATAGAGGTAACTCCTGAGTCCTGTGTGTGTACCTCTGTAATCAGTGCCATTCTAGTCAAGTCCCCATCACTTGCTCTGGCCTTCATTTTTCTCTTCCCTAAGCTGCCTCTGGGTAAAAAGCGTGCTCAGCTTGTTTGACCTGCAGTGGGCCTGTTACATGCAGTGAGTCCAAGGAACCCTTTTGTATTTTGTATTTATTTCTTCGCTGCGTCTAGAGAAGGCAAAGAAAACACTATATAGAATACCCTTAAACATAGCAAAGCAGTAACCACGGCTCTCTAAGGGCTCTGGCCCAGGCTCAGAGTAGTTTTAAAACTATGGTGCTGCAGACCACAGGAGCCCCTTCCAGGGCATTTTAGACTTAGAGAAACAGCCTCACAGCCAATGATGACCCACAAACCACAAACTCTGTGAGGTGAGAGCGAGGGCAAGGCCTCAGACCGGCTCTGCTATAGACTGAGCCTAATGGCTTGAGTCCTATAGTTGTGACTTGGCCTTCTAAACTCCCTCACACTGAACAGCATAGGCTTGAGATAGTTTGTATAATTTTAGAATCAAAGGATGTTTTTTTGTTTGTTTGTTTGTTTGGGTTTTTTTTTTTTTTTGGTTTTTTGATACAGGGTTTCTCTGTATTGTTTTGGAGCCTGTCCTGGAACTTGCTCGGTAGACCAGGCTTGGTCTCGAACTCACAGCAAAGGATGTGGTTTTACAAATACGGACTTTTAGTTTGGCTCATTGTCATTTCGGGAAGGTGTGAGAGATGGCATATTTGGAGACAGACATATTGGTAGGTTTCATTTTACCTACAAAAACCATTTTAAAATACTACTTACAGAACCCATTTTAAAATACTAAGCTTGGAACGTGATGGGTATACTTTGCCCAAAGCAACGTTGACTTTGTATTTCCAGAAAAGTCCTGTTTGTCGACTGACACCTAAAAGCAATTTTTAAAAAAAGGTGTTTTTCTTGTGTCAAAACAATTTCGTTGGGCCAGCTTTCCCTCCCGGAGACTGACTACTCCACTGGCCAGCAGTCCCGGGTGTGTGCCAGGGCAGCCACAAGGGGAGCATGTCAGACAGTGGCGGTCACAGGGCCTCTCAGGTCCCTCTTCCTCAAGCCCCTTCCACCTGGCAGCTCCCTCAGCCTGACAGGTGTTTTCCCAACTCGTGAGGCCGAGGATTTTGGGGAGTGTCTGAGCCAATAAGATTTCTCCTTGGGGGGAGGGCGTGGCTACATGGGTCAGAGCAGGGGCGGGGCTTGCGCAGCTGAGGAGAGCCTAGCTGGTTGCGTGGAGGGTTGTTTGATTCCCACCCCCTCTTTTTTCTTTTCTTTTTTTTCCCATTTTTTTCTTTCTCCCTGAGACTTATTAATTTCTCTGTGGGGCTGCGGCTGGAGACCGTGGAGCGTTGGAAATGACGCTCGGAGCTTTAATTACCGCAATGGCTGGACAAGTGTGAGGAAAGCTGACAGGGGGAAAAAAAGGGGACAGGATCGAGGAGAAGCAAAGAAGCAACCGCCCCCCTTCTCCCTCCCGATTTGGACAGGAGGTGCAAGGAGACTGAAGAGAGAGCTCAACATAGCCCGGCTTCGGGGGAGAGGCCGGAACCCTGCCGCCTCTTTGCAATCAACTTTTTTTGGAAGCCTTTCCCCCCCCCCTCTTTCTTTTTATTGTTGACCAACCAGTGAGAGAGCGAGGGGGAGCGGGCGAGCGAGAAAGTGAGGAGGGAGCGAGCGAGCGGAGGATCACTCGGGGAAATAGCTGTACAGTTCTGCCTGGAGCAGCAGCCGCACAGTCGCGCACACTCCCACCCGCGCGCACTCTCGCGCGGTCCCTAGCCGGGTCCCCGGGTCCCCGGGCCCTGGAAGCCACCGGCGCCAGCCCCGGGAGCCCGTGCACCGCGCGCGCCGCCCCCGCCCCCCTCGCGCCCCCAACGCGCTCCCGGCTGAGGGGGGAAATCTCCTCCGCGTGCCCGCAAGGGGCTATGCCATTTGGACATGTAATTGTCAGCGCGGGATCTGAGACTTGCCAAAAATGAAGCTGGCGACGGGACTGTGGGTCTGGGGGAGCCTCCTGGTGGCAACGGGGACCGTCCAGCCCAGCGCTTCTCAGTCAGGTGGGTCGCGCGGTCTCGCCTTTCCCTCTCGCGCTCCAGCTGTTAAACCCGCCACTGCCTCGGGTGGCTCCCTTCTTCTTCTCGGCCCTTATGTCACCCACTGGCTCCCAGGCTTCAGGGACCACAGCGACCAGGCTTCTGGCTTGGGTCGCCCCTCGCTCCAACCAAAACTTACCTTTGTGTGTGCGTGCGTGTGTTTTTATTGATGCTACAAATGAGTCCGCTTTCCTGCCTCTCCCGTTATTATTTTCCGCCCCCCTCTTTCTCTCTTTAGCCCCCTTCTTGCTTCCTCCCGCGTTTTCTGGGAGCCTAAGCGGGATCGCTTCTGGTGGCGCCGGTTGTCCGGGGCGTGGGAGACATGAGGCGGTCAGTGCAGGTTCCCTCTTCTTCGGTCTGGGCAGGGGAAAAAGGAAAAGAAAAAGCCCAAACAAAACCAAACCCAGTTAGAATCGCTACACCTCTTGGAGTCGCAGGGAGGTCCCTGGGCTGCCCCTGCCCGGCCTTCCTGGGGTGCAGGGCTGCAGCGGGTGGAGCACGGGCCGGGAGCCCGGCTTGGCACCTGAGCGTGATTGCCTGCGGCCGCCAGCCCGACTCCCCAGTACCCAACGGGGTCACCTCGGACGCGAAGCCTGGCCCCGGGCAGTTGGAGTCACCCGGTGCTCGCCTCGGCCAAGGGCCGGGGACTCTGGGCCTTCTCCGTTGGCATCCCGAAGCTGTCTTGCGATTGACTTTGGGGGCGCTTGTTCTCCTGCCTGCAGGATCTCTTTAAAAAAAAAAAAAAAAAAGCCTGGTACACTGAGCCCAGAGCCCGGCCTTCCCGCCCCGTCCTGGGCTAGCTCCCGGAAGAGTTCTTCCAGTAGTGCAACTTGCGTTTGGCCTGAGTCCCTGCAACTTCTGTTTACGGCCCGGCGGGCTGCTGAGCCCACGGGTGGCGCTCATTGACTTAGCCCGAGGCGAGCGCCCCAAGCGCGGCCACTGTTGGCCTGAGCGCTCCAGCCCCAGGTATTTGGAAAGAAAAAGGACTAATTGACCTCGAGAGGCAGTGGGGTGTCACTAGCATGCTGGGGTGACCAGGGCCAATGACAGCAGCTGCGGAGTGGTGGAGCTCAAAGTTTTTTTTTTTTTTTTTTGGCACTTGGGAGTTTCCCGGGGATGAGAGGAGGGGACAGGAAAGGACCACGGAGAACCGGTGTGTCTGATGCGGCCAAGAGAGGTGACAAGAGGGCTTTTGGAGAGGCAGGGAGATTTCCGGAACCTTCCGGGGCTGGTGGCAGGAGCGTGGGAGTCAGCTTGAAGAGATAAAGCATTCAGGAGTGGTAACAGGGAAAGCTTTAGGTCCCCAGAGGGTGTCCTTCTGACCTCACTGAGAAAATAGCGGCTTGCTAGTTTTCCCCGCTCCACCCCCCTCCCTGCCTCCTCCTCCTTGCCTAGTAAATAACAAGTTACAATTTCTGAGCAGTTCAAAATGACCTTCGAATAGCACATGTGCGCCATTTGTGCTGGCCATTTGCACACTCCCAGTGACTCCGAAATTCTTCGTGCATACCAGATCCGGTGCTCCGGCCACCTCTGGAATCATAGCAGCAAGGACTTGAGATTCCAGGCGGCCGGCCGCCTAGATACATCCTTTTCTAACTCCCCACTCAGAGCCCTTCGCCTTTCCCCTCAATGGCTTGATTATGCACATTGACCCATTCAGAAACACTTGCGACTGTCACGCAGGCTTAGGCGAGAGGAATTTCTATCAGGCCACCCTACCAGGGGGCTGTCTGGCATGGCCTGGGCCACTGGGGGATCCCTGCTTCTAGTTCGCAGCAATTTGGTGCTAACTGTGCAGGTCCCGGTAGGGCTATGCCGAAAAGCCTCTTTTCAAAATTTAGGCAAGGAATGCAATCCAAATTAGTTCTGCAGCTGTCCCCTTCCGTGTCTCAGACAACACCAGCTTGGGCCCTAGCTCTGCTCTGCTCTTTTCCCTGGACGAATTGTCAGACCCACAAGTGAGCCCATTTAGAAGCACGAGGATTAGCGTGCTATTGTTGTTCCGTGTGTGACTCTGTACTTGAAATTCTGGGGGCACAAAAGAGAGCCTCACTTGTTCAAAACACAAAGTGATCTAGATGAAAAGGCCGCACAAAGAAAAGCTCCCGGGTGCATCCCTGGTATAATTGCAACAAGCATACTTTGGTGATCTATTGGAAACTGTCAGTGCCCCCAGGGACTTTTTTTCCAGCCTCAGCACCGCACCTGGCTGAGAAAGTTCAGTTGGTGGTTTTAATGTAGCGCTATTATGAAAACAAGTAGCTGTCTGGTTAGAGTGTGGCTCTGTGTTTGTGGCTGTGCATGCGTGTGGCTGTCTATCCAAGTAAATACATACTGCGCGTCTCTCTCGCGGTTAGCAGTCAGTAGCAGTTTGGAGGAGTTTGTTTTGGTCCAAATGAGAAATTAAGTGCGGATAAGTAAACTAAGCTGCCAGAGGGCGACAAGATGTTGAGTGAATTGCTTTTAGATGAAACAAATTAAGGAAACGAGGGAAGACAATCTGCTTTTCGCATTATTAGACACGCTTGGAGTTCAGGGGAGAGTGGCATATTTTTGAAATGCTAATTTCTTAAGCAGAAGGAATGCACCTTATTTACTGCTGTATGTGAACGGAATAAAAACATACAGTTGGAGATTCTGTTGTAAGATCTTCAAGATGTTCCTTGGGAAAATTGTACATAACTTGGTTTTGATTCTGCTTGAGGGAAAACAAGCCAGATTTTGAGTATTTTTACATAATTCTGAAGAATTTTTGACTCATTACCAGTGATAAATTTTATTTATAAATATTTTTAGTCCATGGCCTTTACATGGCAATTCCACCCACAGGAATACTTCTGATGTGTTTGCCTTCTTTCTCTGGTGGGATTTATCAACATCGCTTTTGTTCTGAAATAAAAATATGCAGTATTATTGATGCGACATTCTCCTAAACCTTGATATGTGATAGACAAGTTCATTCTCATTCTCATGTGCAAGTTACATTGTCCCCTTGCTTTTGGTTTAACTAAAGTGCACACATCTCCTCTAAATTTAAAGTATATTATTTCCCCCCAAACTTTAGGTGGTATTCTCCATTTGAGAAGAAATTATTAACAAAAATTAAATGACAAGAATATTGCATGGATTTTTAGAAGAAATTCATCAATTGTCTTTTCCAAGTGTATTTCAATGAGCATGTCCACGGGTTCACTGTCATAGCCCTTTTGTTCTTTAATTTTGAAAACCATGCATGTGTGTACAAGAGAGCTTTCAAGGAGAACATATTTTCCACTCAGAATTCTTCTAAATAGATGAATACCTCTCACTATAGCTGCAAATGTCTTAAAAATCTTGTAGGTTTCTACGGTTGAGTTGGAGTGGAATAACTGAATCTGTCACGATTCCTGTTTTCAACTCAACTGCCTTTATTGTAATCATACATGCAGAGAAAGTCAAATTTCTTGAAAAATCAAGCACTTACAGCTGTGTGTGTGTGTGTGTGTGTGTGTGTGTGTGTGTTACATTTCAGTTAGCTCCTGGAAATGTGTCTTAATTAGGAAATTACATCAGAATGTTTACTAGATCTTGCATGTGATGGAATATTTGTGTATTTTTTATTATAACCTGGACACAATGTTTGCATTGGCTGATGTTTCAGAGTCTGCGTTCACTTGATAGAAAATCATATTTCTCCTCAAAGTGGATTCAAATATTTAGTATTCATGAGCTTTCATCTCTTTGGTTCCTAAATATAAGTACTATTTATCATCTCTCTTATACATTCACCCTTTCCATTACTATGGATTCCTTACATGTTATTTGAGTTTAGGAACATGTGAATCTATATTTCCCCTCTCACTACTAAGCGTATTCATTTCTCTCTCTCTCTCTGTGTGTGTGTGTGTGTGTGTGTGTGTGTGTGTGTGTGTGTGTGTGTTTCTCTGGAACCTGCCACTCAGCCAGTGCAGGAGTTCTCTGAGCCTGCTTTCATTCTTTTTCTCTGATAAATCTGATATGGCCGGTTGGCTGAACAATCGTAAGCCATTCCATTGCTCAGATTTATTCCTGAAAGAAAATAAAACGGCATCGATCCTAGATCACTAGGGCGTCTCAAAAGCCCAGACTCCAAGGCCAAATCTTCCCACAGTGAAGTACTTCTTTCCCTTGTACTGTCCCTCTTTCCTCCACTGACCATGGAAAGGTGATGACTGCCATCCAACAAAAGCTACTGAAGCAAGGAATTGTGCTCTGGGTAGTCTGTGGAGCTTGATTACAGTCACCTTGAGATTAATGGCTATGTAAAGTGTCCCCTTTACACAATATACTAAATTAGCCTGTATTTAATATTGCATTACTTTGTGTGCTGTGTCCAGTCAGTTATTAAGACAATTTGGTTTGTATTTTCAAAATAGCAATAACTTTTGAGTGTACAATGTTCTTCTGCTGTTGGATGTCCACAGTGATGTGTAAGTATCCAAAACATAAATGAAGCAGATGATCAGAAGGGCTGTTTTGTTACAAGCAAGCTTATTGGCATTTGATCTGCTTAATTTCAAGCTTCTGAGGGATATTTTTGGTAGCTCTGTTGTTAATAGTTACATCGAAATTAGCTAATACATGTTCAAATCTACAGTAGCCTATAAAAGTATCAAAAACATCCTTTTATCTGTCACACATTATATTAAATGTGCTATACAAAGTAGAAGTTGATCATACTACTAATTTCCCCCAGATAATATCCTCATAGATGGTCTATTTTATTAATGCCTCATCGTATTGAATGAAATTTGGTGTTTTTTCTTTAATATTCATTTTGTGTAATATAAATATCAAGGAGTCAGAGAAAAATATTTTTGTTATTGCTAGTAGAGTTATTGATATGTGTTTATAGTGCAAAAGTATTGGTTTTTTCTTTTATTTGTTCTAAATAACAAAAAGATGTCAGCTCAATGTTTCCTGAAATGATAGCACATCTACATAATTAATTGTAAGGACAGCTTACCTGCCTATATTGCAATTAAGAACAGCACAGACCATAACCATATGGTTTATGTCAGGATACCTACATCCTAGGGACAGTTCTTCAGGGCTCTTCTTAATGTTTCAGTAACTCATTCCATACATTGAGGAGTGGGATTACCTGCCTGGGGGGAAATGCATGTAAGATACTGTAAGTTTCTCTACTATGTAGCAGTTTTCCACAACAATGAGTTTAAAGACTTTTGTGACTCCGAGATACAGTCTAGTAACCAGTTAATTGCTTTTGTACATGGAATTCAAGTTGTACATACAATTAAAACATTTGCACATATGTTTAGAAACACAATATAAATTCACCAGCGGGCTGTTTCTGTCTGGAAAGCACCAGTTTAAAGAAATATGGAGGTTTTCAACTCTAACATTTGATCGTGAAAACTCTCTTAAATAATACTTTTCAGAATTGCCCTATGGTCTCTTCACATTTAATTGTTCATGTATCTTTCTGGGTCATTGGTATCATGATATGTTTAATTAGACAAATTTAATTTTCTAAGCTTTACCAAAAAGCTTTAAAGTAGTTTTCTTGTTTTCATGTTTGATCCTTAAAACAAATTCTTTCTAGATTGAGAGAGAGAGAGAGAGAAACCATCTCACTTACATTATACAATGTTGAAAGGTGGTGGTGGTTTGGGGACTGATTTTAAAGAGTTTTTTGAACATGAAATAATTGTCTCACAGTTATTTTTGAACAAATAATTGCTTATAAGCCCATCATTTGCACAACTCCAGGGGGCAGCAGTCACACAGAACTTAATAAGAACCGTGATGCCTGCAGGTCTGGTGTGAGTGATGCTAAAGTCCAAAGCACTGAAATAAGTGTAAGTTTTGAGATCTCAGGTATAAGCCTTTGAGAGAGCTTGGGTTAGTCTCCCGGTCTATTTGCATACCTCTGTTATTGCTAACTCTGATACCTCAATTGTTAGCAGCCATGAATTTTTTTTAAAGATTTCATTGGAAAATGGATATTCAGACACACACCAGTTGGGAATCAATTGTTTTATGATTATTTTTGTAACATGATCTCCAGTTTTTG